TTTGTAGAGCAGGCAGGGCCGCGAAAAAAAAAAAGCTTGATTGAAGCTGCAGATGCAGGATGTTTTTGCCCCATTGTGTATGAGAAGATGCTCAGCACAGACACATAATAAAAATTGCTGGGGAAATCAGTCATACCAATAGAAAATAATTATACTCTGCAGGGCATTAATGCAGTATTGTGTGTTACCTTGTAAACGGTTTTATTTGTTTCTCTGTTGATGCAACCACATAATTCTGTATAACATGGAAAAATCTCCGCTAGCAATTTGTCACCTGAGTTGTAATCCCCACAGGGCTTGCTTCATCGTACATTTACCGTGCAGCAGAAAGTTTCTTTTTATATGCTGCATTGCATAAAACATGGATAGAGCTGTATATGGACTGCGCTTGCATGTGTGGCATCAACAAACCCACACAAGAAACAGAGTTATGAATATCAGTTTATTTTAAGGCACACAAGAATGTGACATTCTACTTTGATGCTGACAAGTAAGAGATTGAGGAAACTAAATTTTCTTTCATACATACTGTGAACAAATTACAAATTCTTCGTTGTTACAAACTCGTTCAGCAAGAAGCAAAAGCCAGTGGTTTGTGCAACATAGTAGTCATACGAAATAAGACACACTGATTACGGGATCATTACAAGCCACTTTATGGGTGTTTCCCTGGAACACATGCTTTCTTAGCCCCTTTGCCATAGCAAGCATGCAGTTCTAAACAATGCACTCAACATGGGAGGCTTTAAATGTATGAGTGTTTTTTGGGTGCATTGAAGACCACAGAGGACACTAAATCTATCTGCGATAAAATACAGTGTACACCATGGTATAAATGACAATGCATCTTCTCTTGCTCCCTGCAACAAGGTGAAGCAAGATAAAAATAAGGCACATCTTTCTTTTAAAGTTGAATACATGTGGTAATCAAGCTTTCAGAATTGAGACGTTGTAAGGCACTGATTTCATATATAAGCAAATAGTATGTACCGGCGCAAAGCGGCACCAGCCATGTGCCAGCGTGAAAGAATACGACGTTCGTGTGGCTCGTGCTTGCAGGGTTTATGCCTGAACCAGCTTGTTGCGGCCAACGCTTCGTCAATAATAATAACAACTGTTTGTAGGCATACTCACTTGTCGCATTATGACAAGTTGTAAAGAAGTGACTGTCGTGGCTGGGATCAAACTCCCGAACTTCGCGTCGGCAGAGATGCCACTTTCAGCAGTCGTGTGGCTCTGGGGTCGAAAAAACGGCCACTTCACAAAATGCATGGGTTCACTTTTGGCTTTAACTGTGATTTTTATTCTGTATGGTCTAGAAATATTTTACTCTCTAGCATTGTCACTGAAACAGGCAGCAGAATTTTTTGTTGACGTTTGCTTTTTAAGGTTACCATGGTAAGATTTCCTACGTTTGTTTTAGCGATACTTGAGAATAAAGCCTTACTGTGGGCTTACGACCTGTGGGACACGCCCAAATTTCATGGGTATGCACCAGACAAGTAAGGGAAAGGGTTTCATGATTTACGCGACAGGTATTTCATGTCATTCAGGCCATGACGCGTCAGTCATGTTTGTCTTACACTCATACTCTTATATGCCAGTTTTATTACGTACCTGTAAGGGAGGTGATCACCCGAGCACCCAGACACAGGCAGCTATATATACGGATAGATCGAAACAGACAAAATACCTTTATTTCGATAAAAATATGCCCTGATACTCGGGTGGTGCACCCACATTGAAGAGCAAATTGGAAGATCATTTGGAACATAATCAAAGATTGGGCGTGCGACAACTTTTTCATATATTAAGAGTGGAGCTGTTTAAGCACAGCATTGGTTTGCGATGGAAGAACAGAAATATCTATCATCATGAACGGGCACATGCTCTCTTTGGCCTCTTGTTCATCAGGGAAAAAAGGTGAGGAGAGAGCAAGGTGTCGCATAGAAAGAATGACAAAGAAACAGAATAAAAAAGTGAAGGAAAAAGGTGAAAAAAGGAAATAGAATATAATATAAACAGACAATAAGATAAATTGTAGAAAAGAAGACAGGAATAAAAGATAAAAAAATTCGCCAGATTCCAAGTACCTGGAAATCCACGTTATGCGAAGCATGCGGAAGAAAGGTGATCGTGTTGCAACTTTTTATTGAGCAACACTTCATGAAATGACGCTGAAATAATGCACAAGTGTTGCACACACAGACATATGTTGAAGAGTTGCAGATGTTTATACAGCCAGTTGTTTTCACTTGCGCAACGATGCCAACGGGAACATGCGCATTAGCAACACTAGAAGCTGATATGAAGCGCTGATGCTCACGAAAATGCTTGCCCTGGACACTGCTGCATAAACCAACTTCAGTGCATGGCAACTAACCACATCTGACGTTAACCCGACGTGACGGCCGTATAAAAATGATTGATGATTGATTGATATGTGAGGTTTAACGTCCCAAAACCACTATGTGATTACAAGAAACGCCGTAGTGGAGGGCTCCGGAAATTTCGACCACCTGGGGCTCTTTAACGTGAACTCAAATCTGAAATAGTACATATGTAATGTTTATAAAATTGGGCAGGCAGCACTGCAACCACTATTACTGTTTCACGAAAATTAGCGCCTATTTCAATAGTAGTTCCAAGACCTGGCGTAGCTCTGTGGTAAAATGCTTCATTGGCAACCAGAATGCTTGGGTTCGATTTCAGCTGGGACTCGTCGGGTCGGATACCGACGTCGGGTATTTCACAACAGTCGCACGTTAAAATTGTCCCTATGTGTTCTCGTCGTTCATGAGCAGATACCAAATGTCAATCACCAGTGGCACATACCCGCATACCAGCGGCAAATACCCGCCCGTGTGTATGTGCCACTGTGTGGAGGGAAGTGTTTGACGACGTACGTGACGAGATTGTGACATTATTTATGTCTTGACCAGCGCCTCGTATTCATAAAACCATCTCACCCTCTCATGCTAATTTTGGTTCACGCCAAGTAAATGGTGTGACCACGAGCAAACATAGTCAACTATGTTTAGTTTGCATACGTGTAAGTGAAACAATTAACAATCTATCTTGCCTTTTTGCTTTTCTGTGTGGTGTCACCTTAATCCTGCATACTTAGTTTTGTTTTTCTTCTGGTTATTTTCACTGTAGAAACATTTAGTTCCATCTCATAGTTCCATGAAACGCTGCCTCTCACAGATTAATATTTCAAGAGTATCCTTTTTGTTTTAAGTTGTTTATTTTAAACTCAAAAACAGACAGTGGATGAACATCTTGTCAAAATTATGGTGGGTACTTGTGCAGTAACAAACTCCAATGTCTTCGTTCACAACCAGCCCCACCGCGGTGGTCTAGTGGCTAAGGTACTCGGCTGCTGACCCGCAGGTCACGGGATCAAATCCCGGCTGCGGTGACTGCATTTCCGATGGAGGCGGAAATGTTGTAGGCCCGTGTGCTCAGACTTGGGTGCACATTAAAGAACCCCAGGTGGTCGAAATTTCCGCAGCCTTTCACTACGGCGTCTCTCATAATCATATGGCGGTTTTGGGACGTTAAACCCCACAAATCAATCAAATCATCATGATGGCACCCAGAACCTTCAATACTTTTGACTGAAAAGAACTGGCTTACCTGGATTCATTGGCTAGTTCTATGTCACCGCTTATCTTATATTTTTTGTGTGTGTGGTCTCTGTGATTTTATGCTTCACTTCGTTTTTTTGTTGTTGTTGTTTTCAGCATAAGCATGTTGTTTTAATCTCGGGTGTAGGGCAACACATTTGGGAGTTGTGCGAAATTTCAATTGGATGTCAGCGCTAATTCTTGTCTCAATTGTGTTGCTGTGTTTAGCGCTGAGCAGTTTGAAGTATGGAATACCAACTAGTCTGCTGTCGCATGTTGCGCCGCAACCGTGGGGTGATACCATGATAGCCACACGCTCACAGTCAAATGTTTTCTTTTTATCGCTCGCGCAGCCATGGAAGCAAATAACGAGGCTTGATTGAGCATGCGGGTGCCACATGAGCACTTTCTATTAAAAGTGAATTTCTCGACCGTGATTGACACATCTCCGCATCTAACGCAATGAAGAAACTTGGACTGGTTGGCCATCAGGTGTGATGCTTGTACTTTGAAAACAGGGTGGTCGGCAGCTTTTCTGAATGATGTAGTGGTTGAAGTGCCACACATTTCACAGCTCAACCAATACTCGTTCGATGCTACTACGCCAGTAAAATCAAGTATTTGACGAACAAGCGCAAAAACCAGAGCAGGTTGCCGAACGGCCGCTCAAACCGCAAAACTACAAGCGCGCCCAGCAAAACTAGCAACACGTACGGACTAACACTACATCACCACCGCGCACACAACAGAAATAAATATCACGTATGTCAAAGAGCACTGAAACAGGTTGACGAGTCCTAGACATCGTGGCCTTCACGCAAGCTCAGGCAAACCACAAATTCAGCGGTTCCAAACGCGAACACAATCTAACTATTCACGTTCACAAAGCACATTGCAACGACAAACGCAATCACAGTGTGCGTCAACGACGTGAACGCCGAGCCGATTACAAACACGCAAAAAAATACGCCTGATGTGCCTTCATCAAAGGAAAAGCTTCCATAGGTTACCTGAACCGGCGTTGTAAACTTTGACGAAAAGCCGCAATGTTCCACAAATCCGCCTAAGTTGGGTGAAAATAGCGTTTTTGTTATTTTGACCGGGTGAACATAGCATTCCGGCTATTATCGCCAGGCCGCTGCAGCGGCGGCCTCATCTTATAATTATCGTGGTCACTGAATGATCGCAGTGCCAGAATCCCCTCTGGTTAATTTTAGAAAACTCTATGGGTAACACCTTATTGACATGTGTACTAGAAGATGTTTTTCAATTAACCCACTTCGGTTGTAAAATCCAATTTCTCTCATGTTCTTCCTTCCACCTCTCTTTTTGCAAACCACCTTTTTATGTCTTTCACTATTTCAGAATTCAGACCGTATGAAGGATTGCGCGGTGAAATACCAATATCCTGAAGTTAGCAGATACTGCTTCGGTTACCACTGCAATTATTACACGATGACTAAATACACGTACGAACATGCCCTGGACTTCATGTACTGTGGTGTGGGCAAGGTAAGAGACTGGAAGGGACCAAGAAGTTGCTACAAGCGCATATATATATGAGGTTCGTATATTGACAATTGATATCTTATATAAAAATGTTGCGACTTAAAAGAACAAAATTATGGACAAAGAAAGTCAAATATTTATTTAGTGTCTCATATAACTATAGTGCATACTGCTGTTGTAAAACTCGTGTTATAGCGTTTGTGTAATGCCTATCATTACCAATATAAGCGCACGTGCCTGTATTAAAAAAATACCGTGAAGCGTAATGTTTACATATTCACCAGCTGTAACATGTAGCAGAAACAAAACAAGTGTGCTTACCTTTACGTCTTCTTCTTTTTCATTGAACATAACGCACCTCTTGAGCTGATATTTATTTACGTAGTGTATTGTGAAGCCATAGCCGTGCGCAGTGGGTCTCTCTTTGTCGTTATAGTCTTGATAAGTATGCCAGTTATGATGTTTTATGTGCACCCATCGCAATAGACCATCCCATATTTGGAATTCTGCATTGATTTCGACCACCTGTCTCTTTTTAACGTGCACCTAAATCTAAGCACATCGGTATTCATCAGCGTTGAAGAACGAACGCAATGGCCGCGAGTTGATTACGGATGTACACTACATTCCGGCACCAACTATATAGTTCAGCAAACCTATATGCTACATTTTTTCAACTTATATTTCAATTTCACTTATTTATTGTATTAACACTGATATATATAAGAAACTTGCTTGGATTGTTTAATATTATGCAGATCTATTTTATGAAACCTTCTTAGGCGTCGTCTTATTTTCCAATTGACTGTTCTAAGCATGGGTGCCTATATCACAACCCCTAACGCCCCACTCCCCCCCCCCCCCTCAAAAAAAAAAAAAAAACGAATGAAAGCACCGCAGAAGTTGGCATGCCTGTCTTTGTACCATTGAGCATCATACCAGACAGATGGTTGATTTCCCAACAATGGAGCCATCTATATTTGCAGAACCTTCCATCAACTAGTCTGGAGGGTAAGCTAAAAATGTTTCGTTAAAGTATATCCCTTGGTAATGCAGTTCGCCTACATACCAGAATGTCGCAGGTTCGATTCCAATCACGACTGTCGCATTTCGATGGCGAAATGCTGGAGGCCCGCGTGACAATTAAGCGATGTTAGAGCTGGCTACACCAGATGGTCGAAATTATCAGAGCTCATACTGCACCCCTAGTAATCATATAGTGGTTTTGGCATGTAAAACTTTGGATATCATTACGGTTATCACTGGAAACCATCGATTCATTGGTAGGCTGACTTTTATTTCCATTAGTTGCATATAAAACTAGCAGCTCAAGCGCTGATCTTCTTTTTTTTTTTAATTCAGGTTTGTGTACGAGGCGTGTGCAAGAGCAGCGGCGGCAGTTTGCCGCAAAGGCCAGCCACCAAGAGAACAATAATGACGACACGGAGAAGAACACTTGCTATACTAACAGCACCACTGAATGTCGTTGCGACTGCAGCTCTTCAGGATATCCGCCCCGACCATCAACACCAACGCGGACATATCGCTGGCGCCGTTCGATACGTAGAAATTAAGCACAATTTCTCTCTTAATAATGTGAAAACCAGCTTGTTCCTAACGATCTATAGTAGAATAACACTTAATCAATGCCAAGAACTTTCCTTTGAAATAACACAGAAGAAGTAGGACGCCGCCATGACATTTCTGCTCAGGGCTCGCCACAAGTAGGAAGTCTCGAGACAGAGCCATTGGTGAGCAGACAGATTCCTCTGCACAGACCTCACAAGGGGCACGTTAAAATATACATATACTGACTTCTCCTCGAAAGTGTGTTCCCAGTCTTGAGAACACGGTATAGAGTTGGACATACTCAGTTACCTTAGGTGTCAAAATTCATCTACTTTACGCCCCTCCCCACACACACAAAGCCCAGAAGCTCATTTCGGTGTTTCTGAAAAAAATGGGCATATGAATAAATAAACTGAAACAAGCAAGTCATGGTTTACCTATAAATCACTACAACAAACCGCGTACGGAGGTTTACGCAGTGAAAGGCACAATAAGAAAAAATGAAAACCACACAAATTTGAGCTAAAGATAGTGTTAGGTACCATCGCACATCACCACCACAATTACTAGGTCAAAATGAACTTTTACGTGATAAAACGAAGATATTACTCAGAAGCACACCGTATATGTGGAGACTGAACGAAGTTTCACCTTTGCTTCTTTAACACCTAAATTTCAGCCCAAGGGCGATTTTTTTTTGTCGACCCATCTAAGTGTGGCTGCTTTGGCAGAAAATCAAACCTGCACCCTCAAGCTTACCAGCGTGAGACATGTCCTAAGTGGTTCACAGGCGTGTACACGGAATTGCGCAAATGCTGTTTTGCAGTAAACAGTAGAACAAGTTTCGGTAGAACGTCCTATCTCAAAATTTACGTTTGTTACGTGCATGCGCTGCCGCTGCATTCGCTGTAACCAAGGAGGTTGAAATAAATCTTCACTGCACTTCATTGGTGCAGTGAAGCTGCGCCACGTACGCGAGGGCCATCTTGCCACAAGCAAGACACTGGAGCTAAAGCGCGCCCGTCGAGTCTTTTTGTTGTGGTGGTTTTTACCACTTATGACGTAATGCCCACGATCAGTTATGCCTTCACAAAAATTGCGAGGAAGCACTGTGTTTTCACTCCTATTGTACAGTTAATTTTTAAAAAAATGTATGAAGTTTTATTTTAGGCATTACCTAATTAGTAATAATTGGAAATAATTATTGCGGTATAATATATAAGTCAAACTACCTGCTGTGAAAATGTGAAATCTGTGAAATGTGAAACATGTGAAATTTGCAATAGCTGCTTTCCCCTGTACTAGCTTTATTGGCATATTATATTCAATGTATCAAATATTATACAGTGGATATTACAGGATTAAGGGGTGCGTTGTCAAAAATACGAACTCAAATAGCAGATAAGTACACAATCGACATCACTCTGTTTCTTTTGGCGTTTTTATTGCAAGCACACACCAACAAAGTGTATGTAACGCTGGTTTCTAAAGGGACAAAATAACAATTTACGCCAGAGTGAAAGCTCAATGTATGACAACGTCTAAAACAACAGTATTATCAACAGCAGTGCTCTAATTACCGAGTAATTAAGGTAAATGCACGAAAACACATCCGCTACGCGTAGGACATTTGCAAAATGATCCCGATGACGTGAGAGGTACCGCTTACCTTTAATCACTAGTAATCAGACTAGCTGCACTAAATAACCTTCCATGAGAGGTAATAAAATGGCGTTTGTTCATTTCTGTTTGATTCAATGAAAAAAGAACTGCCGGACTATGAGAAATGGCGCTAGCGGTTCAAAAGTTCAATTTTCACCTGGTTGGATGGATGGATGTCTCCGGCTGTGCACTTTAGATCGGGTGGTGGCTCACGCCACCTAGCCGTAAAGTTAATTACTATTACTGTGTGTTTAAGAATCGAATTTACCTCGTACCTCGATTGTAGCTACAACTCAGTTAGCCTCCTCCTGGTAATTTCTACCCGTTTAAAAAGGCTATTTTGCCTTCACTGTCCCTAAATCCTAATGCTTTGAAAAACTCGGCGCCATTATGTTCGGCAATAGGGCGGAGCCCTTATAGAACAATATCAAACACGGAGGAAGGAAAAGGTAAGGAGAGGCCCTGACGTCACTCGTTGTGAAGCCGCGATGAAGCCGGAAGTCGGCCATATTGAGTAGGCAAATTCTCCTCTCTTGTTTACATATGAATGCGAAGCAGAAGGCGCGACTCCCTCTCCGGCTCGGAAAGCACGTGGGCTGCGCAGCGCGTGTGTCGTGACGATCCGAAACTAATGGAACTGGGCTCATCACTCAGAGCCAGCGGGACACCTTCAGCGAAATCGCTTCGTCCGAGTAATACAAAGAGTAACAGCTCGCTGACAACGAAGCAACTACGAGAGAACGCGCGCTAGATGCACTGACAATGGCGAGTGCTTTCACGTCATTAATTCAGCAACTGTACAGACAACACGATCGGTCGTGTGCCTTCTACGGTTGCATTCCGCCAAGCGACTGACGCAGCGTCCTGCCACTGTGTCCGTGTTCCGCGTGAAACTCACCTGCGCCAGCATTCTGCGACCGTGGTGACTTTGAGCACGGTGCTAGTGACAGTTGAACGTGGTTGCTGTTACGTTGAGATTACATGCAATGCTGGTGGAGAGTGTACCAAGCGGAACAGAAAAGGTGTTTTAATACGCACATGCAAGTTGTTACTGTACACACACAACACGAAACTACCTATGTGCACATGGTCCTCACGGCGTCTTGCTGGGCTCAACAGCGTCGTCCGTTGTCACAAGCAGGAGCACTGCTCAACCGTCACTGACCTGCAAGGCGTTCGTCGTCATTCAGCTTCGTCATGGTGCCCAACGCCATTTCGCTGAACACTAACTGCTTCATCCGCGTCATCCGCCGCACGACACATGGATATGCACTTGTTCTACGCACTGTTGAAACCCCGTGATGGACAAAGAGATTTGTAAACGTTGCTAAGAGTAATGTAACAGCCAGACGAACACTGCGTAACCAATAACGCGGCGCAGAGCACAGGTATTGTCCGCCACGGCTCAGCACGAGACCTGGGGAGGCACACATTCCGCTGCCAGCCGCGGCCGCTCACTGCTAGACCAGCTTCACTGCGCAACACGTAACCATAACAACGCCGTCATTGTGCCTACTGATAATGGCAGCCATGATGTCATTTCCGCCACACTTTTTACGCCCTGCACCGGCTGGGCATGCCCTCTCCTTACCTTTTTCCTTCCTCCGTGATATCAAATGTTCAGCTGTTTCCTCCTCCTCTCCACACGCAATACATACCGTGTCTGTGCCTTCGTATTTTGCTCTGCGCGTCTTAGTCCGCAATACTCCCATTCTAGCCTCGAAGAGCAGAGAACTACCCCGAGAATCATCGTAGATCTTATCCCTTGCAATTTCCTGATTAAATTTCGTTCAGTAGGTCTCCAGTGATGATTTCATAAGCATTCCCACATTCCACATGTCCCTCTCTGTTTCCTTCACCTTCTTCTTAACCGAGGTTTCCTTTTCGCTTGGTATTCTGCTGTTGTCGAAATACTTGCTGAACAGTTTTCGAGTTCGCATCCTCCATTCAGTATCAACATTCTTCATGTACAAGTAACTGAAAATTTTCCTAGCCCAACGCTCCTCTCCCATTTTTCTCAATCGCTCCTCAAATTATATCTTGCTGCTAGCTTCCCTGCACTCAAACGATGTCCATCTCATGTCACCCTATGCCCCCTGATTTGGGGTGTTCCCGTGTGCTCCCAAAGCAAGTCTACCTATGCCACGTTGTTTAATTTCCAACCTTGCTTGTACTTCTGATTTCATGCACAATACCACATTGCCGAGCGTCAGTTGGTCCATCCAAATCTGGTACGGGCTGAGCTAATTGGTAAATCCACATCTGGTACTGTGCATGCCCAGTTTTCTTGGTGTTTAAAATTTTCTATCATCATTGTTTTTATATATTCCATTGCCTCATCCCCTTCTAGTCCGACTCCTTGAACTGTATAGTTATAAATCTCAGTTTCATGCTTGTCTTATTACTCAGATAATCGAGATGGTTCCAAAACTTTGCAGCTGCCTTTCTATCCTTTTTGTTTACTTCCGCCAGTCATTTTTCTTTAATCCTGTCACTGATCAAATCGGACGCTTTCCTTCTGCATCTCAAGAAGTTATCCTATTTTCTTTTGACATCATCTTCCGGTTCACCCCTTTGTTCAGCATACCCGTGTTCTCTGGATGCTTCCTGACGTCTTACTATGGCTCTCTTAACTTCCTCATCCCACCAGCTTTTGGGTTTGGGTCTGCTTTTCTCGGTTGATTTGACTCGTACCTTAGCAAGCTCTAACTCAAACAATCGGGTTAGATTTGCGTACGACCACTCTGTTTTAGCACTCTCGGCGATTATTTTCTCCATCTCATTAGTTGGTATTATTATTTACCTTTCTGAATAAATATTACACTGTGGTTGCTCGTACTACCACCTTTCCAATTTCATTTCCCTTCCAAAACTCAGCTTAATACGTTTGTGATCACTACCTAAGCTTTCGGACCCATATTCATCTATGTTCATCACCCTTAGCCGATCATACATCCTATGTGACATTATCGCGTAATCTATCATCCACTGCAGCCTTCCCATCTCCCATGTTATCTGCCCTTCGCATTCTCGGTGCTGTACAAGTGGTTAAATCATGCCTTTCACACATTTCCATTAGCGTTCTGCCTATTGGGTCAGTATATCCATCCATATCCTGTACGTGCGAATTCATATCTCCTAATAAAATTACCTCACACTCTTCTCCTAGTTCGCCAAGTCATTTTCTATGCACTGCACCATTTGTTGGTTTT